GTGACACCTTTACTACGGTCTCGAGAAAATTCCTATCACAAGTTAATGAAATTACTTACTTCCTTATGCATGTTATTTCCCGTAAAGGAACATAGGCCGCTTACCAGCATTCTCCATCCAACCCTGTCATGGGCAATCCTTTCCAGCTCCTTCCAGTTGTTACTCATCCTTTCCATGTCTGCTTCTATTTCCCGACGTAATGTGTTCTTTTGTCTTCCTCTTTTCCACCTTCCTTCAGGATTCCTGGTTAGGGCTTGCCTCGTGATGCAGTTTGACGATTTGCGTAACGTATGTCCTGTCCATTTCCATCGTTTTTTCCTAATTTCCTCATCAGCTGGAAGCTGGTTTGTTCTCTCCCACAAAAGGCTGTTGCTGATTGTATCCGGCCAACGGACATCGAGTATCTTGAATAAACAATTGTTTATAAATACTTGTACCTCTTTGATGATGGTTGTTGTAGTTCTCCAAGTTTCAGCTCCATACAGTAGAACTGCCTTGACGTTCGCATCGAAGATTCTCACTTTGATATTGGTTGACAGTTGTTTTGAGTTCCATATGTTCTTCAATTGTAGGAATGCTGTTGTTGCTTTGCCGATCCTCGCCCTTATGTCTGCATCCAATCCCCCTTGTTTATCGATGATGCCTCCCAGGTACGTGAAGGATTCTACATCTCCCAGAGTTTCACCATCAAGAGTGATTGGATTGCTGTTCTCCGCTTTGAATTTGAGGACCTTGGTTTTCCTTTTGTGTATGCTGAGGCCTACTGATGCAGAGACTGCTGCTATACTGGCTGTCTTTATCTGCATTTGTTCATGTGTATGCGATAGGATGGCTAGGTCATCCGCGAAGTCCAAATCGTCTAATTGATTCTCAGCTGTCCATTGTATGCCTTGTTTTTACTCAGATGTCGAGGTCTTCATAATCCAGTTGACCACCAGAAGAAAGAGGAAGAGAGAGAGTAGACGGCCTTGTCTGACTCCGGTTCTTACTCGGAATGCGTCTGTTAGCTCTCCTCCATGCACGACCTTGCACTGTATTCCGTTGTATGGGTTCCGGATAATACAGACAATCTTCTCAGGAACTCCGAAGTTAATTATATACAAATATTGAAAATATTACATTTATTACTACTGCAAATAAAATTTTCACTGAGTTTGGTCACTTTATTCAGATTTTAGTCACCATGTTAAAGGTGACCTCATTGGTTAAACAGTTTTTATGAGACGACAAGCACACAACCAATCAAATAAGCCTACTTCTAAGGGGCAGAAAAATCCAAAATGTTGACACTCATAGCATTACCACTGACATTTGTTCAGTCTTTATACTCAATGATATCCATTTCATCTTTGGCGTTAAGGTTCTTTATCAGGATGGTAAGCTGTTTTCCATGCATTCTGTTGAGACGGACTTTAACCTCTCACAATACCGGTATTTGACATTGTAGAAATTCCGACTAAAGTGGATACTAACGAACGTATTTACGTTGCTTGATCAATCATCATGATCTACTATATTTGACCAGGTATAATACGACGGATTAACTTGAGTAGTCTTATATCAAAGTCAAGTCATGGGTTGCTGATTATTTAGACCTACCCAAAAGTGGCGACCAGGCTATTCAACCTCCGAGAAATCCTTAAATGACAGACAAGATTTTGCGTGTAAAATAATATATTTTAAAGATGAACATGGTATGACAAATTTTGTGTAAACTGAACCATACTTCTACGTGTCTAGGCATCGCTCGCCACCAATGAGCTTGACCAGTTCTCACTAGCCACTCAGTACTCAGTGGTAAATCTTCCCAAGTATTTTACACTAACCATGATGGACTACTGAACTAGAGTTCAACCCCATTACATTGCCAACATATGCTCATACCACCGGATGACAATCATTGGGACACTTTCCTTATTCGCTTTGAAATATGCCTCGGTGACCCAGGAACCATGAATTTTCGATCCTTGACCTCTTTTTTTAACTATTTGATGAGCGTCTGGGGAGCCGTTTGCTCTCCCAACCTATTACAGACAATTATATTCCAATTTAAGCTGTGGCGGATGTGATGTTTGAATTAACTAATGATTCTTTTGTACTTGTTGAATGCTCGAGTTCGAATTCCAAATACAATACATTCATTTGTGGTTGTGTCGTACTTCTTGATTCAATTGCGTTAATTCTGGGATTTCTAGTTCATACGATAATTCAAATACTTTCAAACATTATAACATCTTCAAGCAAATGGTTTAGTTTAGACTGCTTTCGCCTAGACCCCTTTTGTATCTACTGTTGGTCTCAATTCTGACCAAAGGAGGTCTGAATGTAGGGCTAGCAACCTTGTCTTGCCAAATGAAATTCCACCATAAAATTGTTAACATAAGAAAATCACTTGAACTTTTTGAAGAGAATGACCTTTGTATAGAATATTTATCACGCTTCATGACGAACACCTAAGGTCTTCAGGAGCAATGAAATCTAAGGAAATCAAAAGGAATAAGAACGTGCGTTATTTAACAGGACAGTGGCATTCCTCCCCGATGAATTAATTTTCTTGTTCTAATCGTTCATTAGGCGTCAAGATTACTGTTCTCACTTTACATTAATCTGTTTCTGCTAAACTGACACCAGGAGTCTCGTTTTCCAAAAGAAATTAAACATCTGTACCTTTTGAGTGCATTCGTATTCTTGTTTATTGTACTTTACAATCTAACAGCTAACGGTTTTGGTTTTTTCTTCTAGTTATTGGCTTCTGTTTCGAAGTATTGCTTTTGTCTAATTTTGTGTTTGCAAACCTCAGATTAACGATTGGATAGTGCGAAAAATCAGTCGCCAACTTTTGGGCTGTCGTTACTCCGTGGAAAGTAACATGCAGTGCAATGGGTGCAAAGGATATTACCACGAGGTTTGCACGAATATAACTTCTGTAAATTTCAAACGGCTTAATGAACATGGTCGTGCGTGGTTGCGTCAACAACGCTGCACGGACACAAATAGCTAGCTATCCGTAGCCACTACAATACTGAATGCCGTTAAAAGGAGTACTAGCATGTGAAATAAGGGTCCATCAAATGGTACTCACTCAAATGGTACCCGCTTCGAGTATGAAGTTAGAGTGATAGAAGATCTACTTGATCGGCTAATCGCAAAAAATGTCACCAGATCACCTTGATGAAGGCTTGTAGATTGAGTAGCAAGACGGACTTGAAGCGGAGTAAGTCCAGGCTGCTAAATATGGTGCCTCAAACTCCTAATGAAATGAATTTAACACTACAGAATGGACATAAGGTAAAGGGGTCAGCAGTTTTTCATTCATAATAGCTTGTCGCTTCAGGACAGTATAAAACGTCAAGAGGCTATAAAAGAACTAAATCCAAGGTTAGATACTAGCGAGAATGACCTCAGAATTGTGTATTTTTAGGTGATGAGGCTTCGACAGAGGACGAGACAGAGGCTATATCAGGTGCAGCACAAATCCATCTAAATGATCTCCAGATATATTACACAAATGCTCAGAGCTTGCTCAGCAAGAGATCGGAGTCAGGTGCAAAAATAAACTCTAACAAGCCATCACGAAAACTCGACTGGCTCAGTTCGTACACTGTTGCAAACCTGATTTTCAAAGTCTCATATTAGTCATAGACGACACCACCCAGAAGAGTAAAGGAGGAGTATTAGCTCTATCCATTATACTGTCTCATTTACCGTTATCGATAATCTATCTCATGATAGTGAGACGTGTGAACCGAGAGGTTGCGAAGGTCAAGAGCTGCTGATCGGTCTGGTCTACTGCAATCTAAACTGTGAGGTGAATGAGGTCTTGTTAGACAGTCTCAACACCTGGTCATCCAGTGGTTGGTATTTAATCTAAGAGGACCTTAACGTGCCTATGACAGACTGGAAAACTCTGAGGACTGAGTTGTCAGAAAATCCTGGTTGATGTGGTTATCATATGCACCCTAATGCAATATGTGAACAAAGCAATGATGTATGATCCAGACGCCAAATCGTCCTCTCTAATGGATCACATATCGACCCTTTATGATAATGATACCACAAACCCCCATTATATGCCATTTTTAGGTAACAGTAACAATGCAGTTCCAGTCTTCCATTTCCTTATTGTTCTCAACAATAATGCATCAGTCAGAGACGGTGACGATGCCACAGGTATTCGGAGTTTGACAACGCTTTAACCAGTAACACCTTCTAATATGAATCGTACCCACCAAGTGAAATCAAAAAGCAGAAGCGAGGAGGTTCAAAGATATATTTGATAGGCCATCAATATGTCGAGGATCGTCTGATCTAATCTGGCTAGCGATCGCAGGGATTGTTGAGCACGGCGTTCCCACTCGTGATCTGGTGCGGATGCATGACCGAGTGCCTTCAACTAGGTGAGTCCATCAAAACTAATGTGGCCAGCATCCAATGTCGAAAACTTCCAGAGCTATTTATTTTGGGGATTGTTTTGCCGCTACAACAGAACAAACTTCTAGAAGGTGAGTAAACACGAAATCATACACTCGGCATCCTCAGCTGACTGAACAATAAAATCAGAATCCTAAATTGAATCAGCTAAGGAGGTATTTTGAAATATATACGTGAAAGTTACTACACCACATATACTTGGACTTCACCAGGGAGTCTGAGAAACCCCACATATGGTTCTGTGAGTAGTTTCGCAACCTTCCCCGTGTGAGGAGAAGAATGTGGGAGAGATTCGGGTTACTGGATATTGACAGGACAAGTCCCCATTGTCGAGGAGCTCGAAATATTTGTGTCTCGACCCTTCACAAGTCCAGATGTTTGTACGAAGTAAAGCTTGTTAAAGAGTCCATAGAATATCCTAAATGCTTAAACTCGTACATACATCCAAGAACTCAAAGGAGAGAATGTATTCCAGCATCATGTGGAGAGATTAGTACTTCATCACGGGTACAGGATAATTATGGTGAAGCTCGGATATTCTCAAATTACTTTAGTAATGTATATATTGTAGAGATGTCCTCCCCTCCAGTCCATACTACTCCCTACATGCACTGTGGACACTGTGACCATTGAAGAATTCGATGTCTTCGGTCTACTGGACAAAATTATATACCCTCACTTTTCTCGTCTTCTGAAACAGGGCATTTATGAGGACACTCACAAATGTTCGCAAACCAAGAGCAAACGATTTGTCAGCTGACTACCAACTTTCTCGTTGAATCATCAGAAAGTGGAATTTATTACACCAACATGTGATTGAAGCTCTATCTGCCGACGCTTTTAAAAGAAAGTTGGATCAACTCAGAGACCACTATTCTCAGGACTAACACAGGCCACTTAGCCTTCCGTCTTTTCTAAACCGAAACTTAGTTATCATCAGTATCGTGGTAACAAACAGGTCAACATATCAAAAATGTACGTTACAGAATTTATTGATTCCAAAATAAAACAGCGGAGAGTGCTACTGATATCAAAACAAAACTCTCCAGTTTGTCAGACTATTGAGAGAATTTTGAGAACATACAACCTGAATAAAGAACAGGATAACAATTTTGAAGTACTGTGCATAGATTGCAGGAGGGATTGTACTACAGTAGAAACATATTTATGGCATAAGCTAATCTACGGAAACAGGCAGGTGATTGATGACTTATCGCATACTTCTTTAACTATAATCTATCATTTGGTTTTATATGTCTCAGATTTACGTCTTTTATCTTAAATACCGATGAAAGACATGGGACATCATCAGTCAAATTATCATGCGTTTGTTTATAAATAGTCAGTATCTCGCTTTATTAGTGATATTTATAACTGTATATACATATATGTGGACTTTGTGTTTTTTAAAGTTAGTTGCAAAAATCATCTAACTATTTAATCAAAACATAGTGGATACGACGTATCCTTTCAGAAAATTTAACGTTAAATTTTCTGAAAGGTAAGTTTAGTCACCTGGGAAAGGTGATATATTACCTATGCTTTTCCAATATTCTTCATCTTGCTACATGAAAATCCTCTTAAAGCATAAGTATTACCCTATCCGGAATTCTTGCCTACAGTATTGGATGGAAAAGTTTCACCAGAGCTGTTTCTCACAAGGAATGACTTCAAATATGGATCCCATTCTAGACTAAATACCTAGGATTATGTCCGAAAAAAACATCAATTAATGAGACAAAACTTATAAACCATTCAGGAACTTAGGATCTAAGAGAAGACAGAGTGAATGCACCTCTACCATTTGAATGCTTCTCAACCATGTCACTAAAACGCCAGTTACGGTACTCATCCAGTCTTCAATTAGAATTACTAACTCAGTGGTCCTAACCTATACGACCAATGTTTCGAAGGCACCAGTGGTTGAATACTAACAACCTACGAATATCCTCAATTTTCGGAAGCTACGTTTCACATCCACAAAGTAGAACGGAACAAACTGCTGCGCAAAATACCGTTTCAGCTGACGTACAAATAACTCTTCCACACCACAAGTGATACGACTTACCAAACACTGAGCTTTCTGAATTCATGTCTAAATCTTATCAGGTAGCACGGGTTTGATGAGTCATAAAGATAAGTGAAGTGATCAAAAACTTTAACTATGTCACTTATTATTAGTTCAAACGTTGACGCAAACCAACCGTGAAGCAATAATCTGCATTTAAAAGGATTCTGGTTTTGAAGTGAACACTAAAGAAGCAATTTTCATACATGGTCTTCACTTAGTTGGTGGTACATAACTTAACAGCACATCTAAGTCATACATCATGAGTAAAATCTAGGTAGACAAACCCCCCTTTACCTTATCCATGTCCACTAGAGGGATATGGACGCCCAATCCCACCTTCACATCGTTTACACACGCCCAGACTACCGTGAATTCCCCAGTTATGTCGGCGAACTTTTAGACTTTACCAAGTGCGTCTCTTCCCACAACAGCACCTACTATTCCCAACCAATAAGTTGATTCACAAACTCTATAGGTTAATCATCAAGTGACATGGCGCAACTCGGAATCGTTTGCAGTTTACTTTGTCTAACCTTAGGTCCTAAATCGCTAAAATTTTTTGTTCTATGGATCCATATTTTCTTCAATCAAATCTTTCCTACTACCAATAATACTCCTGCTACTTACACTACTCTAGCATCTCACTGTGCAAATATGTGGCGGTAACTTGAAACGATTCAAGCACGTACTATGGTTTACGTTGCTTATAACTGACTAACTGACAAAGTAAATTGTATCAAAACATTGTCTCATGAGAGTTGAGTTCCATCCAGCTAAAAAGAGACCTGGATAGTAAATGCTAGTAATGTCAAAGCTTCTTTTGATAAAGCTAAGGTTCGTCTCCTGTCATTACGTGTTGAACCAGGCTTGAAATTCTCTTGTGAAATCAATGATCCCAGTACTGAAGCTCCTTATGAAAAACTGTTCCGCATGTTAGTAACATTGCTACTTCTAAAAACAAAGATAACTGATATATATATATATATATTAGAAATCAGTCGTCAGCTACTTAATATTCCCAGTCTTGTTGTCACCAGCGCATAATAAGCTAAAGAAAAATCTCAGCAAATACTCACTTTTATTGTTTATAATTCATACTAATTTTCTTATACTTATTGCTAACAATCAAACTGTTTTAATCCCCCGATATTTCCATGAACAAATCCAACTCCCATTTTCTTTTCAGGTACCACATTTATTTCTGGATGGCAAGCACATAGGAGGAGAACCAGAAATAAAGCGCTTACATGAAAGCGGTGAAATGAGACGAATATTTAAGGAAGCAGGTCTTTGAAAACTCCTTATAATCAAAGTAACAAACTAAGGAATGTAGAAAGGAACTTATTATTGCTAAACACTTCCAATAGAAGGTTGCTACGAAATATATACCATATTAAAATTAAAGTGACGCTTTATTGATCTCACGAAACTACCCAAGAAGTAAATAATTACCTTCGTTTCAAACTTAATATACGACAATAAACTAGACAGGAAGCAGCAGCAAAACGAATCAAATCATAATACTACAAAAAGTCATCCCGTGGCAAAGTCGAACATGAAATTCCCACGAAATATCGCACAATAATAACTGCACGTTTCATTAGAGAACGTTCGAGTTTATACCATTGTGTTGTTAGTAACTAGTATTAATAAACGCTGAGTTTGCCTGATTTTACTTGTCCCAATTACAACCAAACAATTCAGCAGAACAATTTCGTTGAGTTCTATATTAGATACTAACGCTTACTAAACAAACTAAGTATTTGAGTCACGTCAACCGGTATAAAATTACATTTCGATAAAGTCCATGTACAGTTACTCATTACAATCAACAGATCACGATCACTATTCCTAGTAAGAAGTTAATATATAAATCCAATAACCCATACATAATCCAATTAATTATTCATTCTCTTTCACTCAAAGTGAACTAGTATACTGCAGACTACATGACTATACTTTAAATACATCAAAGTTACGCAAGAAACACTTTGCGGGACAATGAAATGCTAAAATGAAAACAAAGGTAAAATTGGGCATAAATCTTAGCTCTTAAATATACAGCAACAATATTGTTTAGTCATTAACCTCTTCTAGGAGGTAAACCACCACGAATAGATCCAGGCTTTCCAGCAGCACAACCTCTACTAGTAGGTAGGCTGGAACGTCTAGTAGCTCTTGGCACGGAAGCGACAGGACACCATTTTTTTCTTCGAGCCGGCCCACTAGTACATGCACTGTCTGATACACTTGACTGTGCAGTAGAAGGGTCGAAGGAATCCCAGACAATGGGTTGAATCTTTGGTCGAGCTGTGCTAGAATCCCCAGAGCTTGAAGGTTCTAAAAAATAACAAGAAGATGGTATGGTCAGTAGGAATTTGATGACTACTAACAGTAATAGCGATCCATGGAAAATAAATCAATAAGCATAATAAAACAAATATGATCAGTGTTTTCGCAAGATGAATTAAAAAATTATTTAGTTTTTAAGAATACAGCGATAGAAATTCAATAATCACCTTTGGAAGCTGCAACTGAAGCAGAGAATGTAGAAGGCTTAAAAAGTAATGGAGTGGCGGTTGAACTTGGGACTGTATTCACTGGCAAAAATGATTTGAAAAGTCCCGTGCAACTACCAGACGGAAGTCCGGACTCAGTAGTAGCAACTGAATATGGAACAGTTAGTGAAGAAGGCTTGAAACCGGAGAAAAGACCAGATGAACCCAATAATGAGCCGGAACATTTGGGCAGACCAGAGTTGCTAAAGAGATTAGGAATAGATGATTCGCCAAATAAACCCTTGCTAGAAGAAATAGGTTCCATCTCCGTATTGAGAGAAGTTGGTACTTTTTCTGAAATCTGTGGAGTGGAGTCACTTTTCTCCATACTCTTTGTCTCATAATGTAATTGTCCATCATCCTCACCTACCCTTTCATTGCAATTACCGACATTTTCAGGTACTCCCACATCTGTAGGTGCTGTGTGTTCATTTGTTTCCTCGTTGCCGTAATTGTCCACACCAGAAGAGTAGTGCTCCTCAGCATCAGCACCACGTGCCTGGGTATCATCATCAGAACCACCTTAACAAAATATCGGATAAAATGGGAAGTAAATCTTAATTAAATATTACCAGCTAAAGCACGATGATCATTTTATTTTTATGTAAAATTTCTTACAGTCGATTTGCTCACTAGTGAGTAGCTTCACGAGGTATATCCTGGAGTTCTAGTGAGAAGTAGTGACCAGTGGAGTTCAACCAGGTCTGTTGTGAGATAGTAACTCACTGAAGACAATGGTGAATGTGTCGCTCAAGTTCGTGGATTAGTTGAAGTTAGATATTAACACCGTTGGATGCCGGCTCAGTGGTCTAGTGGTTAAGTGCTCGGGCGCGAAACCAGTAGGTCCTGGGTTCGAATCTCGCAGGGGGCGAGGTCGTGGATGCGCACTGCTGAGGAGTCCCGCAATAGGACGAAACGGCCGTCCAGTGCTTCCAGGTTTTCCATGGTGGTCTAGCTTCAACTGACTCATGATCTTAACCATTGGAATTACTACAATCTCCACAAAAACCCATCTGATAAAAATAAAAGTTTGAATTATTTTATAGACACAGTGCTTTAACTATGTATTCTCTAGTAAATCAGTAATAAAAGATAGATTGAGGAACTTTATAATTAGGACAATCGGATGGAAATATGCTAAATTCGTATAGCATCTATCTAACGTATATGATACATGCTTAAAGCAAAATTACATCAAGATCATAGTATGTACATCAGTTAAGTAGAAGTACTGTTTAGATTCCTTAAAAATCTATGCAACACGTTAAAATTTAATAATGTAGAATTAAAGTCAGTAATATCTGTACTTATTTTGTGACAGTTCTTTAATAAATACTGTTATGTCTTTATGTCCGGCTTTTTATCACGTGATTTATCCGCCAATCAAAATACGACTTATACGATCTTAGCACTGTGCCAAACCAACGAAGTTCGACCGGTATGAGCAGCCCAGTGTCCTATATCCGCCTAGCCCGTCCACTTGAGTCCAGAACATCAATACCAGCTTCCACTACGCGAATCTAATCGAATCCTTTGTTTCAGACATGTTGGGTTTATATATCGACCAAACAGACCGCAACGTACCATAAAATGAGAAATAATATTTATACACAATAAAGCCAAAAAGTGGCTATGAACGTGGGAGGCAGTAGTCAATAAACTGAACATAGCTTACGAACAGTAAATCGTACAATAATAAACTATAGGTCAAAATAAAGCTTATAATAAAAGGAATATAAATATACATAACCTAATTATCGAATAGTTATATTGACAACTTATTTCCAATACAACTGATTATTTACCCATTCTATTTTTATCTTTTGCTAAAGGAGATCCAATGACCTTAAGATTATTTGAAATTAGTAGATGTTGTCAGTGTGAAGTACACATTATTAGGTAGTTATATTTTTTCGAATAAATGATGTATCAGCTGTGAAAAAAATGAGGAATAAATTCAAAGTATTTCATAAACGAACTTACTACTTAATTCGATTACTTCTTGTTCTCCTTCTTCCTCCTCTTCTTCATCTTCTGTATATGAATCACAATTAGCTTCATCTTCTCTTTCATACTCATCATAATCCCCTTCTTCCATGTAGTCTTCTGCTTCTCCTTCTTCAGGTACAGAACCTTCATTGTAAACAGTATCAACTTCCTGTTTACAAAGATCTTCTGTAGCGAATCCTGACGGCCTTGAAGTTGTCGGAACAGCATTGAATCTAATGTTATTATTGTTATTAACATCAAATGAGGAATCCTTTGAATCACTTTCGACATATTCATCATCCATGGATCCAGATTCACGTTGATCAGCATCGTAAAAAGCATCATTTTCCGAATAACATTCTTGCTCTTCATCAGAAGACTCGCATACCTCTTCTAGTGTACTTGATGTAGGTTTTATAGGACTAGTTAAATTTTGATCAGATGTTCGGACTTCAGACTCAACAACTTCAATATTCTTAAATACAATCAGTAAAATGAGGAAATATTATCATCAGCTAGCATTTAAAACTGAAAAACTGAAGGTCACCAACGAGAAACCCACAACGTCAAACACAGTAGTAGAGAAATATTCATCCTAGCACTGAATGTTGTCTTAAGACGTACAACTATCTACGTTGAAGTGACTCAATATCTTATGGGTCAGTTATGCAAAAATACGAGAAGGGTTGGTTGATAAGATGGAAGTGGTTAGATAGAGAACAGTAATCGCCTAATCAAAAAATATCAATACAGTTTGAAATAAATACCTATAACCCAAAGATTGTATTTTCATACGGTATTCAATGTTCTCATCCATCAATGATTCAAAGTCCAGGTAGAGTTGTCGAATGTTACAGAATGTAAGGTAATTAAACGATATTTTGCTTGATACATTCGAAACTGAAGATAGCCACTTGAAACGATGGATGATAAAAGAAAACATTGGATGGATTTTATTGAATGTATAATTTATGTGTGAAAATATGGGTAAACTGATATTAACTTTCCGCTGCAAATTAATTAGCATGTCGTTTTTAACCCTTGGATATCCGGTGAACATTTTCATTTACATTTGGTTGTTACTGAAAGCGTTTTTAGTTGGCAATAATTTACCTACATACAATGTGGTCTCCAAATAATTCTAAGAGAAGTTATATGGCATGAAGACAAGTTTTCTAATCTGTAAAGAGATCAATAATGGAAATGTTACATCATAACGTGTTTGGTCAGATCTGCAGCTAAATATAAACGCATTTTAATTATTTAATTGCGTCGGTTGGAAAATAGATACTGAAGAGCAGCATTCTTGCTACTTAAGAAACAATCAGTGATGTTGGCCGACAGCTACTTTACAACAAACAAGGTAAATTCAATATACCGGAATATGGGACTACATGGTTCAATAAAGTGATAAAATAAAATCTATAACAAAAAAATTTCTCAAGCTTACTTCAGTGTGACCATCCATCGTAGGTACATCAATCCCACCTCTTACATTTTCACCAAGCTCTTGTCTAATAACAATATCAGCTGTAGCTTGTTCTATTTCTACACCGGCTTCATTTGATGATCGTTCCACACTTTCTGAGGTTTCAAATGTTCCAGGAGTTATGATACCAGCTACACCGGTAGCGACTGTCAGTGTACCCAATGTAGAGCCTATAACGATGTAGAAGTTAACAATGTGATTAAAATGCATGTTATTTCGTTTGATCATGATTATATAATAATGACCAACAAAACTGTAAATTAATATACTTGTTATAAGCTACGACAAAATATAAACTAATGATACTGTTACAGTTACCTTTACTCACTGTCGACAAGATAAAACACTTATAAACTTCTAAGCATCCTAACGAAATTCGACTTCTCTCATTAATTATTAGTGCACAAATACAGCACACAATAACTGAATAAGTACTAGCCACGACTTCCGAATAACCCGAGTGAAGTTGAGGAACGTGGTGATGAATTCAGATGACACTAAAACACTTGATCACTATTTTTTTAAATATGTAGATCCTAACTAGTTTCGTTTGCCGAGATATCAGTCTAAGGCACGGAAGAACATGCTTGTAGTGTATATTACACAAAATAAGAAGAGCTGTACTTTCAGTTAATACTAACCTTCACTCAAAAACTAGAGGAACTTCAGGGTAGATAACTGAATGTCAACCTATACTGCTGAATCACAATTTTGTTTAAGTGTACATCTTATTAGGTTAGATGACCAATTTAGTTAAGCATAATAAGCTTCACTTTAAAAATATATAGTTAGTTAATAAGAAGAATACATACAAAAACTTAATAATACATCTTGTCTTTATCAGTTACTGTGAGAAATGCAAATGAATGAAAATTTATTGAGGATAACAACACACATGTAACTAACAAAGTATCTCGATTAACGGTTTCGTAAAAAAATTGAGTCCAAGGAAACAAGCATCTGACTTACTACTGGGTTCTTGTTGTCCAGCAACTAAACGAGAAGCAGTTGCATGTAACGGAGTTGTAGCAGGTGCACTGATACCAAATGGTGATCTACCAAGGACAATTGGACTAGGGCTTGCCTGGGTAAAAGATATTGATGTGCTGGGACCACTGACCACTGCCTGGCGTATACGCTTAGATTCAGAAGGAATAGAGCCAGGGTTAAATTGTTGCTGATGGAAATGGTTAGTGTTAATGGCAGACAAAAACGAGTTTTCATTATTTCTAGAAACTTCACTTGTTGAAACCATGTTATCATCTACTGGTGGTATAATATGAAGTATTGAGTCCACAGTACTGCTTGAACAACTTTCTTCGAATCGACGTTTTCCAGTTATGCTAACTGTAGTCGAACGAGGTGCTGAAGTTGGAACGCTGGAAGAACAAGCCGGAGTTAAAATGTTACTTTGAGGCTGGTTAAGGATATTACCTCGGCGTAGAAATGTATTTCGCAATAAAGACGCAGCTACAAATGAAAACAAACAGTATGTTTTCAGCAACAAGTTGAGATACATTTATTTTTACTATAAAATACATCAAGGAATATATAGTCGTTCTCCAACTGCAACCGAAAAATACAACGACAAAAAGTCATTTCTACAAACAATAGATGATAATTTAACGTTGGAGATAATACATTATATTAAGTGTAGTTTAACCTAAAGAAAAACCGTGTTTTATCAATCGGTTGACTAATTAATGATGTCAACTCAATAATAAAGCACAAATTCGTATACTCGACTTTGTGCAAATGTTATTTAGGTAAAAAAAGTCACCTCAAGGTCTTTAATATGCCAGGTTCATAAATACTTGACTGTACAAAAAAACATATTAACTGATAGTGATAGTTTGCACATAAAAAACATACCATTCTGATCGCAAGACGTAAACAATGATGAGCTGGGACCTACAGTTGTATCAGATACAGGTGAACAAATTGCAATACTTGAGGGTCCACAAATAGGGACATTTTCTGACTGACCACTTGTTATCAGCATCGGGACTAAATGATTTAAATAAAAAGACAGCGTAGGAATAATTTTTTTAAGAAGAGCAATGAACAAAAAAAAACAGGAACCGATAAGATTCAAACAACGGCAATACCTGACGATGGTGCTGGGGTTGGCATGACAGCAGCTACATTACTTGTGATAGGTCTTATTTCTGCTGTCTGTTTAGGACCAGCAAGTGAATTAGGTGGAGTAATAGCAGGTGTTGGATGGACCGGTTGTACAGTGGCTCCAGCACGCATAATCCAAGCAGGAATTGATTGAGATACGACAGAACTTGTAGTTTCCGTACTACTACCATCAGTAATGTTCAAAGAAGTGGGAGTTTCGAAATGTAACTGATTCCCTGTGGCTTGATTTGTTGGGGAAGCACCTAAAGCCAAAGCCCGTGGTACAAATGGATGCGTTATCTGAACACCATCTTGGGACTCGGATTCCTGCAACTAAATAAGAATTGTTGGTTTTTAATCATAAGCTTTCAAAAAATACTGATAAGCAAACCTTAGAGAAACAACTACAATACGAAAAGGAAAACTCGAATAAACTGTAAAAAAACATTCTTGAAGAATATGTGTTGATTTAATAATTAATCCAAAAACAAATAACAAGAGAATCAACCATTATGATTTATAAGACCCATGCTTCAATAATTAAATTATTTACTACTACATATTTTAAGGTAAGAATAACGAACATTGGTGAGATGAAGTGAGTTCATCCCTTTGTATATTGAACCAATAAAGAATTTATTGAATTAAAGACTTACGGTCGATGCTGCAGGAGATGAGGCTCCACTGGTCTGCAAACATACTGACACAGTTTGAGGATGTACGCTATTCGATTGAAGCTCAATTAAACGAGCCCGAAGTTCTGTGCAATCTTTTTGAGATTTTGTCAATTGAGATTCTATAAGTTGAGTTCGTAGTAAACGTTCTTTTTGAGAATCCGAATGCTGTTGTAAACGATCGATCTCATTACATAAACCTGACAGAAGACGACGAAATTCACTCACCACTTTTTGACCATTAGACATATTAGGATTTATTTCAATATCTGATTCTCCAACAGATGAATTCATAATTGTTATAACTGATTCTCTAGCCTAAACACAATTTTAAGAAGAAATACATAATAACTGTAAAAATAAACAAACAAACAATTTTAGTAATAGATTATTAGGAATTACCGAAAACGAAACATGTGAATATCACACCCAAACAATTAAAACCCTTATAGAAAACAGCAAGGAAAAACATCAATCTCACCTTCACTTCATCTAAAAACTGAAGAGCTTCTGTTACACTTGCTTCCAAGAGATCATATTCAGTACGTAAAGAAGAATAGTCAGAACGTAAAGTAACCAAATCCGCTTTAGCTTCAGTTAATGCTTCATTCGTAGTTTGAAGTTGAGCTTCTGTAATAATTGGGGGGATGGGACGAAAAATACTTGGTTAATATATTTTTAAGTATTAGCTGTGTGAAAATAAGAATCAACTAATAATTAGTAAATATCACATGATATTCCCTAGGTGATAACTTTCTTATCTTACAAAATTCAGTCCTTATCATCATAAACATGAACTTTTCTTGGATAGAATTAAGTTTCATTCAGAGGATAAAGTGTATAAAACAATTTTTAAAATTCAAAATCAACTGGGAGCAAGAGTGAATATATCTATTCAATAATGACCGATTCTGAACATTATTATCCAACAGTTAGAGACATTTTCTCTACTTAAGTTAACAAAGCTTTTAATTGGATTGTAGACGCATTCAACCAGATTGAAGTAGTACCTAGAAATTACGGCTCAAGTTTTTTTAAAATTTTGCAAAACAAGATCACCCACACAAAATACAAATTAATTAGAACATCAATTAGTTACGGTTTGGTTTTTATATGAAGAATAAAAATTTTCAGTTAAGAATTACACTGGTATCTCTTTTTGTAATTAGTTAACAATATATCGACAAATGTGTGAACAACTTCATAAACGAAAAATTAATTTGTCTTAGTACGATAAGTTATGTATTTTATAATTTAATGGATAATAAAGTCATCAAAGTAAACCACTTACAAACACTAATAATGAACAAACAAACAGATACAATTATATTAAATTTAGCATAAAAGTTCATCCGAATTCCTAACATCATATTATATGGACAAAAAACTAACAAAGTTACAAAAATATTTCAATAAATAAAAGGCAAGATCTAAGTGTAATTAAGGGATAAAAAGATGAAAGATCGAAAATTCTAATAACAATAAGATAATAATACTGACCATCTGATCTGCTATCATTGAGTTTTCGACGTAATACCTCGGTTTCCTGACGATATTTTCGTCCGATTTCACGAAGTTTCATAATTGTTGTCTCTTTTGCACTTAAATCTTCTCTTAATAAATTTTCTTGAACACTAAAAAAGAATAAAAATGAGAATAAGTGAAAAATTTATTATAAAAACAAAAGAACAATCCAATATTAAAGGATATTGAAAATAAAACAGTAGTTTTAATAAAGACTTCAATACTATTTCATGTATCACATATTTTGTGTTCTGAAACAAACACCTAGAATGAATGTTATTTTTTAAAAGTGATTACATGATGTTGTCACTAATTATGTTTAATAAGGCGCTCACAATTGAAGGACAAAAAGAAATTACAAAATACCTCAAAGTTATTTTTTTTAATTTTCTTTCTATATTAATTTCTTAACTTGGATGAGGTAAAAAGATGAATGAAACGATCAACGAGAATTACCTGAATGAAGAAATTTTCTGTTCAGCTTCCTGGTATGAATTACGCGCACTTTCCAAAAGATCATTTAGCTTTTTTATCTGGTCATCTGATTCATTTTTTAAATCATATAACTTATTAGCATTATTTTGAACTTCCTCCTCAGCTCGATTTAATCTACGTTGTAATTCGTCACGTTCATTACTGTTAAATCATGAAGAAAGAATTGAATAATTAAGCAACTTAATTTAGAAATAAATTGCACTGTGGTACAATATTCGTTATTCATGAAAAATTTCAAATATAACAATGTTTCAAGCTAGAAGTTTTATGTTAGGAGTCAAGAGAGTACAAAATGTCGATGACCCAATAAAAATTATACACATCAATACTATAACTACAAAATATAAATAACTAACCATGCAAGTCTATACTGTTCAGGATCCATGCGTTGAGCTGTTTCTACTAATCGACTACAACGCTCCTTCCAACGATCACGTTCTTCTTCAAGAGATCGTTTATCAGACATTAGAATATCTTTCTGAGCAATCAAATCACTGTTGGACTGTTTTAATGGACCAACTTCATCGTTCAATTTTGCAAGCTGAGAAAGAAATGGAAAATTAAGACTTTGTTACAATTAGTAGAAAAGAAATAACACTATTAGTTGTTTTAAGGAATCTCAGTGACAAATAACACACCTACATACATATTTTGGTTCAATATTTTATACAGAGTAATAGCTTTAATTTCCTAACGTATATTTATATGCTCAGTTAGGTAACTAGGCGTTTGATTGACAAATGTATCAACCCCGAGAACTAAATCATTACTTCCTCCTTCCTCAGTATATTATCCAAGCGGTTGAGAAGTTATAATGAGTTTCACATACAGGAACCTATATAACTCAATTTCGTCTACACAGTTTAATGGAAAACATTTAAAAAAGTAGGAAGTCTTAGCAACAAATGATGCTGCCAATACTAATAAGAACTAACCTGATTTTCTGCATCAGATAACTTTGATCGCAAAACCTCTCTTTCATGACGCAGTAATCGATTAGATTCAGTAACCAAATTTAATTGTTCAACACGTTCCATAACTTCAGAGTGTTTACGAGCAGTTTCCATAGCTAATTCAGCAGCTTTACGTTCATTATCGATTTGAGATTGTAAACTTTCCTTTTGTGATTCCAAACTAGACACTCTCAATAACAACCGGGATACTTCAGCACTAGCAGCTTCATGAGCAACATCTGCCAAGTTTTTCTGACGCCTGAGGTAACTATGAAAAAATATTGAAAGTGTAAGGGTACTTGGTTACACTTCTAATATAGCTAAGATAAAAAAAAGTTAAAGTTTAAAGCTTTTGACAAAGAAAATTTAACAGAATTAACTAACAATAACATACCCAATAACTTGTAATAATTCCTCAGAGGTTTTTATATCTGAATTAATTGACTCGATATCTTGAGTGGAACTCATGCTGTCTTCAGCAGAAATATTTGATTTATCTAAAGATTTTCTTAATGAAACCATTTGTTGTGTAAGCTAAAATGGAAATTTAGATGATACATAGTGATTATCATTTACGAGGGTACAAGTTACTTTTAAGTGCAAATAATTTTTTTTTCTGCATCTATGATTTAAATTAATTACGCATAGTTTAAAAATCTAACAAAACCAATGAGGATTATTGGATATATATACAGCATATTCTGGAACTACAAAGTAAATGCTGTGACAGTTAAGTTTAAAATACTTGTTCAGGAAATCAAATTAGTAAATCTTTTTCACAAAGACAACTTGAACTTTGAACTTCTTTTACACTACTCAATAAATTATGCCTTTTATCATGTAGTCTGTAATTTTCTTCAACTATACAATTTCATAAGGATAGTAATAATTTGAAATGTAAACATAGATGTACAGTTATAAAAATCGATTTTCTGTTGACAACATTTCAACTGTGTATATAATTATTTATCTGAATGGGGATCTCTGGAGACTGTAGTAATTCTAGAAGCTGAATTTATGAGTCGATCTAAGCTAGATCACCATTAGGAACCTGGAAGCACTCGACGGCCGTGTTGTCCAAGTACGTGACTCTTCAGAAGCGCTTAGCCACGATTCCGTACGTGGGAATTCAAATCGGGACCTTCGATCTTGCTCCCGAACGCCTAACATCTAGACAAACGAGCCGGCATCCAACAGTGCTATCGTTTAACTCGGTAGATGCGCACTGCTGAGGAGTCCCATACTGGAAAAAAACGGCAGTCCAAAGCTTCCAGGTTTTCAATGGTGGTTTAGCAAATTAACTGTATGGTAGTCATTCTTACAAGTGAACTACAAACAACAAATAAACTACTACTACTACTACTCAAACTGCGAAAATTGATTACATTTCTACAGAAAATAAATTCGGATGTCTATTAGGAAGTTGACGATACTTAAAACATCACTTATCAGAAATGGTCAACACTATCATCACCATAATCAAAGTAAAACCTGACACATGGCAACCGCTTCAAGTTGCCATACCATATTAGTACAGCGAGATAAAATTATTTCAAGACAAAACCTAGTATAGTAGAAGCAGTAACAGTATCTATCAATAGTAGTAAGAAATACTAAGCAAAGAAAGAGAAAAAGGTGTATGGAGATTTTGGGACTTTTCTTCTAAAGAAAGATAAAGAGTTAATTGACCTCCATTATCGCGAACGATTTTGAACCACGTTACCCAAAGTTCCCAACCATTGGTTATGACATCACAACTGATACCAAATCGTTGGCCAAGGTGACACTTGAGGAGGAAGTCAAAAGAGGAAGTTTAGAGTTTAAAGTCGAGGTAGGAGGAACAATAGGGATCGAAGAGGAAGGTAGATTATGAATACAGTGATCTTGAGTGCTGTTAGAGGTTTCTCCCCCTCTAAATGCGAATTGTTGCTTTAGCACTGGCCTACGTCAACACCTGAACTGAGGACATAGAATGAAGTAGTCGAACGCGTTAACTTCACTTATCTTGGAATTCTGGTCGACCCTAATGGGTTGGTGTTTGACGAAATCTCAGTACGGATTCAAAAAGGTTGTTTGGCTTTTACCGACTTACGTCACCTATAACGAAGGGGAGGTATCCTTCTATCAATAAAAGGACGAGTATACTATGCAGCAGTTCGTTATGTCCCACTTTACGACTGCAAAACGTAGCCATTACGGGTAGAGGATGCACGTCAATTACCAGTATTTAACCACAGATGTCTTAGAAATATTGCTCAAACCTGCTGGAATCACCGGGTAAGTAATAGTGAGATTAGACGCAGGGTATTAGGGAATGATGGTAAATCAGTTGATGAGGTTATGAATCTTCATCGACTGAGATGGTTGGGCCATGAGTTACGTATGTCTGGACATTATTTACCACCACGCGCAATGCCGACCTGTGTTGAGGATGGTTGGAAGGAAGTTGGGGCCGGCCAAACCAAAACGTTGCATTAGTCCATAAAGTTACTAACTTATAGTCTTAGCCATATTGGTAGGTGCAGACTACTTGGTTGAGGTCCATGCGACTATCGTAACCAATGGTTGGAAACTCTGTGTGACATGGCTCAGAATTTATCACAATGGCGTTATGTTATATTCAGATAAGAATAATGAATGGTAACTTTTGGGATCCATGAGTATATTTTTATCGTATAATCGTTGATTAACTAAACTGTTCATATTCATATCACTCTTATTATGAGTTTTATTTCGACCTATGAACTATTATTATACGATTTACCATTCTTGAATTATTCCCTGTCTGTTAATCACTACCTCCTTCATTCACAGCCACATTTGGCCAAATATTGTACAAATGTTATTTTCCATTTTATGGTACGTTGTGGTCTGCTTGATTGGTATATAAACCGAGTATGCTTGAAATAAATGATTCATATCGCAGACGCTGAGGTTGGTGTTCTGGACTTAACTGGCTGGGCTAGGAGGATGGAGGACCAATCGAGACAGTAGACTGCTCGCACGGGTTTCATGCGTCGCTGGTTCGATCGATAATTCGCTGTTCTCTGCTTGGGGGAATCGCTGCGTTATACAATAAACAGGGCACATAGGTTCACAGTTATAACATATATACACTCTGCCTACCCTTATACTGTGTATTAATGAAGTGTGTAACTTGGACCGATACATATATGTGCCTGATCCTACGTTGCAGCTGACTGACTGATACTAGATTGTGGATCTAATACGTACAAAAATCCTCGATATAAGTATCCGGAAAGAAACAACAAAACTAAATGTAGCTACTAATTAACTAAATCTTTCAAATGAGACATGAATTCACTACGAATAATAATAATAATAATAATAATAATAATAATAATAAATTTAACAAACATATCGATTTAATGAGAAGGACAAGTGTCTAGTAGTTAATATTCTGTGAATTAAAAACACCATAAAGCGAAAGAATTAATTCAATACTAACTTGAATTATTTGATCTTGTAACAAATTTTGGTCTTCTTGACTTTGTTTCAATTGCCTGTTCAACTCCTGCTTTTCCGATTCCCATAACTCCATTTGAATTTTTAAATCAGTAATTGCAGTTTCTGCTTTCGATCTAGATTCATTTAATTCTTGTTCTAATTCACCGGAATGCATTTTAATAGAATCCAATTGTGAACGTACTGTTGTTAATAACTGAAATTTATTATTATATAATCAGTTAGGTGTTAAAACAAAAAGTTCAAAAAAGTATGAAGTGAAATAAAAACATATCCATTCAATGTGTAAAACAGGGACACAAATATATTATAATTAGGCTAGATAACACTCATAACTCGAGATAATACCAACAGAATGATAAATTTTATGATGTTTCAAATATGTATTCTGCATTAAACAATCTATTGTTACTGTATGATTTAATATGGTCAAAATAGGATTACTCTACCACTTGAACTGATACTTTCTTATATATGAGAAAATCCCACTTCAGTTGCCTGTAGCTTTAATGAGATCTGAGTCTACCAAAGAGAGGGCACACTGACTAAGTGTATTTTCTCAGCATCAGTTCCATATTGTCCAACAAAAGTGACTAGCGCTAAGGTTAGATGTAGGACACTCAGCAAAGACGATATATCAATTGATGATGTGCTGAATCTTCATTGATTGAGGTAGCTGGGAACATGCATTACATTCCACTATGGATTGCCTAAACGTGCCTCGAAAGGAAGCTACGGGCAGCTAAAACACGACGTGGCACCGGCCGATAAAGTTACTAATTTTTAATCTGAACCTATTAGATGCACACTACTTGGTTAAGGTCCTCAAAATAATCGTGATCAGTGGTTGGAGACATGGCTCGATATCTGCTACGATGGTATAGATGCATTATTTCATACCCTTTATTTCCCAAACTATTATCCTGTTGTCGAAACACATACTCCAACTCTAGTTGTTTTTTATTATCAATGGTACTACTACTGCTGCTAACTATACTGTCTTGGAGTTTACCTTCATTTCATTACGGTGTGCTGACATGGTGTACCAATTTGGATCCACGTTGACTATGATTGGTACAAGAAGGATCGGGAAACTAGAACTTAATGTTGGTTTAACTAGATTGCAAAACTGAGTTACGTAATGGGAAATATTGGAAACTTCCCGTTAGTGTCAGAGAGAAATATAACAATGAAAATTATTTCAGAAAATAATTTAAAAACAGCGAAATTCCTTATCTTCTGTCTTTGTCATAGGATGTTCTTTCCTCAAATTTATTTTCATAACTTGATTCATGAAGTGGGATGAAAATTCTCAACGTAGATCCAAATGATAAATGTGTACATCACAAAATTATTAACAAAACATGCGGCGAGACTCTAATTTAAGGACGAGCCAATCAGGAGCGTTTGAGCAATGCCAATTATTAGCCAATCAGAAGACAGTTAGTATAAAGTAAAAAGATATTATAAGAAAGTAATGAATTACAGTGGATATCCTTCTTTTACATGATTTAAAAACTTGTTAAGGTTTGATAAAGGTTCAGAGGTTCTGAATTCATAATGCATACGGTATATATACTCGTCCATAGGGTTAGGGTTAGGTGTTAGGGGTTAGGGTTAGAGTTGTAGCCTCTCAATAATCACCTCTTCTCTAAAATCCGCTGTAAGCCGATAGTATGTTAGCGTCACATGTTCAACTTGGCTTCGTGACCCTGAAATTGCTCAAATGCTTCTGATTGTCTCGTTCCTATATTAGAGTCTCGTCACCCTAACCCTATGGACGAGTTTCTATACCGCATGCATTATGAATTCAGAACCTCTGAACCTTTATCAAACCTTAACAAGTTTTTAAATCATGTAAAAGAAGGATATCCACTGTAATTCATTACTTTCTTATAATATCTTTTTACTTTATACTAACTGTCTGCTGATTGGCTAATAATTGAAATTGCTCAAACGCTTCTGATTGGCTCGTCCCTAAATTAAAGTCTCGCCAAAAATGCTAGATTGAGCATTTTAAATAACGCCTTTCATTCAATAAATGTTACATCACAACAAATGAACTGATTTTCTATTAAAAAAAGATATTGTCTATAATCATAGATTTCCTTCGAACTTTTAAAATGATTTCCAAATACCAATTTGTTACCACCTAATGAAAGTTACGAAAAATGGAATTTATCATATGACTGGTAATTCTTACCTCCACATCGTGTGCATGTAATGTCAGTTCACGTTCATATTTATCACGAGCCTCTTGCGCAGCCTGTTGATGACATTCTATTTCGGCTTTAGCACCAGCTTCCACTTGGAGAGCTGATTCATAACGAGTTCTGGAGCTTTCTAATTCATTCTGTAAGCTAGCCAATTCGCGACGTAAATCTGCATTCTAGTTTAAAATGAAAGAAAATGTAGGATAGTGTGTTGTGTTTAGATATGATACAATAAAGAATAGCCCGGTTATAAAGAAGGGTACAACAAACAATGAACTCAAACAAAATATTGACAAATTTCTAAGTTGAATGTTAAATTATCGAAAACATGTATGTATGTGTATCCAAATTTAAGTTTCCTAGGGATATGAAACTTTTTTGATCCCTTATGACAAAACGAACTAACACACACAATACAATTCTAGTTTGATGCAGTCAAGCAATTTTCTCTACCAATAAATTAATGTGCATTTAGTATAATCTAAAGACTGAAAATGTCGACATTATAGTAGAAAAAGTTATGAGGAAACTTACCAACTTATGGGCTTCTTCTGTAGTTCGTATATTTTCGTTTACAAGATTTTGACGTTCTTTTCTTTCTAGATCTAGTTGTGCCTCTAAAAACTCACAACCTGAAAATCAAGCATTGAATTAATTTATAGACAGAATTATAAAACAGATATAGTGGTTAAAACCTGTTAAAACCTTACAAAACATGCATAATGAAGACTGGTAAGTAAGAAAAATTGTAAGTTTGCAAACAGTAAATGTGACCAGAATATATCTGGATAATGAATAGAAAGGAAATGACTCATAGGATATTCACTAGTTTATGTATCCTCAACAAAGGATAACTAACCGTAATCCACTAACGTTTACTAATGCATTACTTGATAAATCGTGTACAGAAATCTCAATTTATGTTTTAATCAAAATAAACCTGTTAGTAATAATCACACTTAGTAGCATAAATTTTGAACTGTGTTGATATTACACATAGACAAAGGTGTTGCTTACGAATATCATTATTTATATATATACCTGCAACCCAGCCAAATGTTGCCATTTAGTCTAACAAAAGCATTGTTCTATGAAATTTTAGGTAAGATATGTGATATTGAGCACGTCAGTCAACAAGCACAAATATGGGAGAAAATACTTCAAGAGAAATGAATAAATATTGATTAAAAACTGCCTACTGAACTTACGCTGTTTAGTCTCACACATATCACGTGAAAAGTGCTCTTCCAGTCGTTTATTCTCTTCTACAATTTCATTGAGACGCTCTTCAGCCTGTTCAGCCAACGTTTTCATGCGATCAGATTGCTGCCGAGATGATTCTAAACTAGATTTAAGACTTTCAATTTCATGTTCCAGTTCACGAACACGAATTTGAGCCTTTTTCGAACACTCAGGAGATGATTCAGATATACTTGGTTCCATATTGTCATCTGTTAAGGTAAAATAGGATTCGATTAGCTAGAATCCACGAACTCTAAAAGTTGTTCAACATTGAAAAACTCATGATTAATAGACAAAAGCGTAGACAGAAACAACATTGCTCGCTAACTCGCCTAATACAAGTCCAGACTTCTAGTGAGTCGGAACATCGTCTAAATAGGTTTGCAATTTAATTCGACATAATAGTTGTAAGATTAACAACGTGCAACTTTATTCATCGTTTTATTCTTCAAATTAAGACTGTTACGAAGAACTTCAGTAAAATCCCAAAATTAATAGTTATTTTTCTAACGAAGTATATACGTTAATTCGCCAACAAACACACAGACCCTTCACAAGTGTTGAAAGGATAAGAGTTATCAAACTAGCTAACAGAGTGATCGACAGTCATTCATTTAGACTAACCACTATTACACATGTATCTTCACAAACCTGCTGGGTGAATTATCATTGCTAAAATATTCAGTAAAAAAAACAGTATTAAATAAGCAAATCCAACTGCGTTAGAAATGTTATGGGCTTTAGAGAAACCCTAAAAATGTTGAATTATGTAACCACATAATCCATACAATGATTATGATTCAAAACCTTTAAGCCTCATTGGCGCTTCTATTAGGAAAAAGCATTGGTATATATATAAATATATATATATATAAATATATATATATATATATATATATATATATATATATATATATATATATATATATATATATATATATAATAGTAACTAAATGTATATCAGTCTAAGTAGCTTTCATTAGTCTATCAAGTCTGAATCAAACTTTTACAAATCTGTCTATTCCAGCTACATACCATGAGATCCAACAGCTGCCAATCTTTCCTCTAAATCTCGTATCCGGGTATTTAATTGTTGAATTTCTCTGCCACTAGACTCTACGGACTCACGAGAAAGGGCTAGCTCGTGTTGCAAAGTTTGTTGAGCTATTTGGGAGGCCTTGGAGGCATCTATAAGAGCTGAATTGACAGTAGATAGTTGCTTCTCCAACTGTTCAATTTTTCGTTCATTTAATGAACGATCCATTGACTCTCTTTGTTCGAGACTTCCCTGGTAAAGAGAAAAAAGAAATGTTAAACGAAGTAAAATGATTACAACTTAAAAATAGAACGGATTATGGGAAATTAATAGAGAAAAAACAGTGAGAAAATATAAAGGTTTTATAAATTACTTGTATAGACTGAAGTTGATGCATTAGCTGAGAATGGATTTGATCATGGCGGCGTAATGAATCTATTTCTTGTTTAAGACGAGTCTCATTAGCTCGCACCGCTTCCAACTGTCGCGAAAAATGTCTTGCATCCACTTCTGCTGTCGTGAGGCGATCAGATGCATGGGTTAATTCATCTCTAAGTCTTGATAATTCTGCTTCACTGGAGGCTGCAGAAGTTGAGTAGCGGGCATTCATTTCACGAAGGATAGTGATTTCTTGTTTATATCCAGCAACATTAGCTTCTGATGCACGCAGCTTTTCGTGAGTAAAATCAAGCTGAAAAAAAATGCAAATATGACCAAGTATAATTCACCAAACTGTAGAACATTGATTTTATTGTCATAACCTGAAGTCCAATAGGTAAACAATGAAAACAATCGCATCTAAAAACTAACCGTTATCGTTATTTGTTTATTATAAATCCTTCACCACATCTGTTTCAACTAATAACTATCTAGTGTATTCGGTCTTAAGAAGCCAAGTCTAAACAATAAAGATTTGTACAAACATGTGATCTACAAATTTATCAAATAATCAATATATATATATATATATATATATATATATATATATATATATATATATATATATATATATATATATATATATATATATATAATACTGACACACTTTGCAGCAGTTGGCATTACACTAAAACTTTTCAACCATTAAAAGAAAAAGGAATTTTAGACCAAAGAATGAGATCATGACTAAGGAAAAATCTTTTGTAAATTGGTCCAACTGATATGAAGCTATTTTTCCAGGTTTCATAAATCAGTTTTATTTGCTTTCTAATGTAGAATACTTACACGACCTGCCATTGAATGTGATAAGATGACCAGTTAGTATATCCAAATGCTCTTAGTTATGTTTTATTACATGACTTTCTTATATTCCAACCGATACCAATTACTACGCACAAGTGCTTTACTTGATCAAGAATTACACAACCATCTGTGAAACAATGACATAAAATTAGTACTATATAAGTTTTTTGTGATATCTCAATGAGTAGGAAATTGTATTTCTGACGTTTCGTAACTTAATATAAGCCATTACTTCAGAGTAGATAAATAATTGAATTTAATTCGGTTTTTTATACACTTTGAAGAAGTGGCTTACATTAAGTCACGTAACGTCAGAAATACAATTTTCTAATCACTGAGATATCACAAAAAATATATTTACTATCAACTCTCTACCCAATGTTCAATTTATTTGAAACCATCAAGTCAAACCTTGATATTGATACCTATAACATAAAATTAGGTTTCTGAGGCATATGATTACATGTGAAGTGTACAAATATTCACTAACTTGTGAGCTAAGTTTCTGATTTAACAGTCGAGCTTCGTTGTATTCTCTTCGTAGACTATCGACTGTAGTAGTATATACATGATCTGACTCCAACTTGTCCTCCCGATAACGTGCAAATTCCGCCTGTAACGAGCTTAGGGCACCTTCCAGACGCTCAATAACAGCAGAGGATCCATTGCTGGGAGGAGAACCCTTACCTACAAAAAATATTGAAAAACAACCAGTGGCAATCTGTTGAAACAATCCTACGGTATATGGGAAATGGCACTTCTAAGCTCAGATCATTTGGTGAAGTTTTATTAAATATAAATATGACTATTGTAGAGAGCAGAATAAAAACCTACTTGGAGTCTTATTATTGATCATAGAGCGACTTAGCGGATTACCATCATCTAAAATAGACTCTTGACTTTGAGCAGAACTAAGTTCTTCTTTATCAGATAAGTCGATGTCATATTTTTTCAATAAAGCACGATATTGGTCACGTTGCTGAGAAAACATATTTGCCTCTGTTCGTGCTTCACGAGCGGCTAAACGTACAACGTCCAATTCACCAGATAAAGTTTCAACACGAGAAGACAGCTCAGACATACGCTTAATTGTGTCCGAATCTTCTCGCTCGTGTTTTTCTAGCTGGGCAGCAAGATCACGAGCAACGCAGAGCAGCCGTTGATTTTGAGACTGTAGCTCATCCAAGTTTTTCCATGTGACAAGATGATCATCAATAATCATTGCAGAGGAAGCTAGATTTTCCAACAAGCTTGAAACATTGGTAATATCCACTGAACTATCTGGAACCGGATGATCTTCGGGTTCGTTTAAATCCCTTACGTCTGACTTGGCACAAAAATCTCCCTCATTGCGAATAACAGTCCCCCTAGATACTTCAACTTCATACAGCAGAGACTTCACCTGTAAAGAATTCATGCAAAACGTCAGGTTTAAAAAAGGCTTAAACAAACTCAAAATAAATACATGGTAAGAATGGGATGAATATATAAAATTGATTAGCAGCCAAATAATTCATATTATTGTATCACTGGGTAAATATGCTGTTCAGTGTTTGTAGATCTACCGACAAAAAATATGTCGTGCTTTCAGTTGAATAACTTAACATAAAACGTAGCACAGTAGTACATCAACTCGGGTGACTATATACTGTATTATTAATGAAAGAGAACTGACATTACCGAACGAATAAGTCGATAATACAATAATTATGCGTATAATCAACTACATCGAACAAAAATCTTATCACTATTATTGGTTTTGCGTCATGTTACCCAATGATAAATCCCGTTTCGTGTATTGATTACACCTACCTGAAGCTTCTACACTGCACATTAACTTTGTATAACAATTGCACACCTGACTCTTAAGTCTAGATTACAATCATGTTATAGCCAATATATATGAAGCACATCTGACCTAGATTCTCTGTACAATCCCATTTTTGAAGCTTATCATTTTAACAGAAGTTTTAAAATAGTTAGCTTAGGATGCGGTCTTAGTGGGTCTAGGGTCTAGGAGCTTTTCGAAATTTAGATCATTTCTGCAATTCAATACAAACATCAGAGTGGTAGTTTAGGCTGCTTGGATATTTACTGGTAGCTTAAAAATATGATCACCTCCGCCTGTAGTTCTTCTAGAGTTACTGCCGGTCCCAAGCCCGGGTAAAGGAGGAGGGTTGGGCATGGGGTTAGCGTCCCCATCCCGTAGAAAGCTAACTCGCTAAAAAACGCTTACCAGAAAAAAATAATTCAAACCATTTAAACTCTGCCCTGAGAGTTAGAAGGTCTTCATTTAGAAGAATTATGACGCTTCATGGTGAAAGCCGAGTTTCTTCGGAAGCCACGAAGCCGATGCCTCTTCTAACAACCAGAGCAAAAATTTTTATAGGTACATGGAACGTCCGAACAATGTGGGAGACCGCGAAGACCAGTAAAATAGCAACGAAAACGAGGAGATACAACCTGGCAGTACTGGGAATCAGCGAAACCCATTGGACCCAAGCTGGACAACAAAGGCTAAATACGGGAGAGATGCTACTATACTCCGGTCACGAAGAGAAAAATGCTCAACACACTCAAGGAGTTGCTCTAATGCTGTCCAAAGTAGAACGAAATGCACTTGTAGGATAGGAATCTCACCGATCCAGAATCATCAAAGCATCATTCAAAACAAAGAAGGAGGGGATCACAATGAATATTATCCAATGTTATGCACCCACCAACGATAGCAACGACGACATCAAAGATCAATTCCACGAGCGGCTGCAGTCAATCATAGAGAAGTGCCCAAGAAAGGACCTCATCATTCTGATGGGAGATATAAACGCCAAAGTTGGAATAGACAACACTGGATATGAAGATATCATGAGACGACATTGACTGGTTGAGAGAAACGAAAATGGAGAAAGATTTGCAAATCTGTGTGCATTCAACAAATTGGTCATAGGTGGCACAATATTTCCACACAAACGTATACACAAAGCTATATGGATCTCACCGGACCACATCACAGAGAACCAGATAGAACATATTTGCATCAATAAAAAATTCCGAAGGACAATGGAAGATGTGAAAACGAGGAGAGGAGCTGATATAGCTTCAGACCACCATCTAGTTGTGGCCAATTTAAAACTGAAGCTAAACAAGAACTGGACAACTGGACAAACAGCACTACAAAGGTTCAATACAGCCTTCCTTCGAGATACTAACAAACTCAACGAATTCAAGATAACTCTCAACAACAAGTTCCAAGCCTTACAGGATCTACTGAAGGAAGAAGAAACTACTATAGAGGACAAATGGAAAGGTATCAAAGAAACATTGACTTCAACGTGTCAAGAGTTTCTGGGTCTAAAGAAGCACCATCATAAAGAATGGATCTCTATAGAAACACTGGACAAGATCAAAGAAAGGAAGAACAAGAAGACAGCAATTAACAACAGCCGAACACGAGCAGAGAAAGTCCAAGCACAAGCTGAATACATAGAAACAAACAAGCAAGTGAAGCGGAGCATTAGAGCCGACAGGAAGAAATACGTGGAAAAATTAGCAACGACGGTAGAAAAAGCGGAAAGAGAAGGAAATATGAAACAACTCTATGATACAACGAAGAAACTAGCAGAGATATACAGTAAATCAGAGAGACCGGTCAAGGACAAAGAAGGCAGGCCAATCACTGAAATTCAACAACAGATGAACAGATGGGTAGAGTACATTGAGGAACTCCTGAATAGGCCGGCTCCAACGAATCCACCAGACATCGAAGCAGCGCACACAGATCTTCCTATGTATATTAATCCACGAACGACGGAGGAAATCAGAATGGCCATCAGAAAAAATCAAGAGCGGGAAAGCAGCAGGACCCGACAACATACCAGCTGAAGCACTGACGTCGAAGTAACCACAAGCATGCTTCACCTTCTATTCAAAAAGATTTGGTAGGAGGAACAAGTGCCGATGGACTGGAATGAAGGACACCTCATCAAGATTCCAAAGAAAGGAGACCTGAGCAAATGTGAAAACTACAGAGAGATTACACTACTGTCAGTACCAAGAAAAGTCTTTAACAGAGTTTTGCTGAACCGGATGAAAGATGCAGTAGACGCCCAACTTCGAGATCAACAAGCTGGATTCCGTAAGGATCGGTCGTGCACAGACCAAATTGCGACACTACGGATCATCGTCGAACAATCAGTTGAGTGGAACTCGTCACTGTACATCAACTTCATTGATTATGAAAAGGCATTTGACAGCGTGGATAGGAGAACGTTATGGAAACTTCTTCGACACTACGGAGTTCCTGATAATATCGTCAACATCATACGGAACTCATACAACGGAATACAGTGCAAAATTTTGCATGGAGGACAGCTGACAGACGCATTTCAAGTAAGAACCGGAGTCAGACAAGGCTGTCTACTCTCACCCTTCCTCTTTCTTCTGGTGGTCAACTGGATTATGAAAACCGCGACATCTGAGGGGAAACAAGGCATACAATGGACAACTCAGAATCAATTAGACGACTTGGACTTCGCAGATGACCTAGCCCTCCTATCGCATACACATGAACGAATGCAGATAAAGACAGCCAGTGTAGCAGCAGTCTCTGCATCAGTAGGCCTCAGCATACACAAAAGGAAAACCAAGGTCCTCAAATTCAAAGCGGAGAACAGCAATCCAATCACTCTTGATGGTGAAACTCTGGGAGATGTAGAATCCTTCACGTACCTGGGAGGCATCATCGATAAACAAGGGGGATTGGATGCAGACATAAGGGCGAGGATCGGCAAAGCAACAACAGCATTCCTACAATTGAAGAACATATGGAACTCAAAACAACTGTCAACCAATATCAAAGTGAGAATCTTCAATGCGAACGTCAAGGCAGTTCTACTGTATGGAGCTGAAACTTGGAGAACTACAACAACCATCATCAAAGAGGTACAAGTATTTATAAACAATTGTTTATTCAAGATACTCGATGGCCGTTGGCTGGATACCATCAGCAACAGCCTTTTGTGGGAGAGAACAAACCAGCTTCCAGCTGATGAGGAAATTAGGGAAAGACGATGGAAATGGATAGGACAAACATTACGCAAATCGTCAAACTGCATCACGAGACAAGCCCTAACTTGGAATCCTGAAGGGAAATGGAAAAGAGGAAGGCGAAAGAACACTTTACGTCGGGAAATAGAAGCGGACATGAAAAGGATGAATAACAACTGGAAAGAGCTGGAAAGGATTGCCCAGGACAGGGTTGAATGGAGAGTGCTGGTGGGCGGCCTATGCTCCTCCACGAGTAACAAGCGTAACTAAATAAAAAGATGATCGGAAGATATCTTGACATTTCCTCAGATTTTCTGAAAAGTGCTTTAACTCACTAATTAAATGAAAATTAACGTAATTCATCCATTTTTCTTCAGAAAGTTTTGCAAAAGACAAACGTGACCAGGAGTCCGTAAACTTCAATTAATTTGTAGGAGCAATGATATGCAAGTACTGAATAAGACATATAACAACAGGGTCATCTGCTTACTTGTTTGGATAGATCGGAGCACGTTTGTTTAAGTCTACTGGTCTCTCGACGGTAAAATCCAGCACGTCGCTCACTCTCTCGCTTTTGCAACTGCGCTTCTTCTAACTTCTTCGCTGTACATTGATAACAAGACGTAAGCTCTTTCAACTCCGTTTGTAATTTCCGATACTCTTCTTGTTGGTTTCGTAGGAGAGGAGCTACAGTAATGATATGGAGACAGAATGAGAAAAGTACATCACTAAAGAATTCTAAAGTGCAAAAACATTGAACAATGTAAATAACAGAATAGGCTACAACCTTTTGATATTTGTCTGTGCAAATGCGATTCTCTTTACGCTACCAGTCATCGATTGATGGACTGATTATTCTCAATCTAGAACTTTTGATATGATTCTTAATCTAGTGGTAACCAGTCTTTTGAAGACCTGAATTATGAGCACAGATGAATCTCATTTACCATGTGCCTTAAAACATCATGTTACCCCAGTTGTACAGTTTAACGTTCGATCTCGGACTTTATAAACTAGAGAGAAATTACTGGGGATAACCAATCAAACCTCATGTTTATCCATCACATTCCAATCTTTACGTTACATAGGTTTCAGAATCACTGTTAAAAACCAGTAAAAGAGTTTGTAAAGTTTTGTTGTAACCTCATGAAAACTTTGTCTTATTGGGAAGTATAATACTGCAGTCGGTAACCATGATCTATAACGGCATACCTCTTCAATTTTCATTTCATTGTTCGGCTATATTTAGATTCCCGATATCTAAGCGACAAATGCTAACCGTATTGGCTTCACCTTCATTCAACCAGGAAAATATTATTTATAAGGTTATGTGATTTGTATACATTAAGATTACCAAGTAAACGCAAAATTTATAAGACGTAAATATAAGCGTATTTAGAAAATTGACCTTTTAGCACGATAACAATTGATCATTATTGGAGGTACCTTTAGGTTAATCTTAATGTGACACTTTATTGGCTTGCCTGTCGTGATGACTCAAACGAGTTATATTGACTGGAACACATGATCCTTTAGGTCCTAATATGCCAGAGAGGTTGTTTGAAGAACGCTAAGACTAAACTCAGCAACTTAAGGGTCCAAGAGCGAAGTCGCACAGATGACTGTAGAGGGGAGTGACAACGGTAAGGTGTTTCTCTCAAACAACCAGCATCTGCAGCGATGCTGAGTTCTCACAACAGAAAGAAGTTAGAAAGGGCCAACCCTAAAAATATTACACCTCACCTTACCCCACGTATTTCCGTCTACGGCGGTAGGGCTTTTTGAAGTGTGGAGTCAAAATCTCATGAAAAGGCTGTGCGCAGCCCCAAGCAGTTATCCCTTAGGTCCTGCAGTCACGCTTCTAGGTCGCTAAGATCACAACCAATCCAGCTTCCTTTTAGGTCCCCCAAGAATGTATATTCTTCCACGGTGTGGGCAATCAGGAAGTGAAATCCTCCTTCGTATCTTTATCAGCATTTGAGATCATCTGGTTGACGATCGAATTCATCACTCACCTGTTAATAATTCTTCCACCTCCAGAACTAATTCTTCTCATCTATTTTCATTACAACGGGCCACCAATGCCAGTGGGTTCGCGAAATGTTATCCCTGGTCTCCAGTAACTCCATTCTAAACATGTTGGAGCTATTCATGTTCGAACCTTGTGTCAGACAAGACAGCAGGCCTTTTTAGCTAGGAATCTAGAATCTCGAGCCATATATGTATGCTGAGTTTCCAAAACGCGTGTACAAGATCGAGGTACGGTCATTCAGTTGACTTCATCTCGTTAATATAAAGAATCGACACGATTTACCCTTCGAGTATCTGAAGACCACACTGCTACTCCTCGCGTCCTCGCTGATGTAGGTACAACATGAAATCCTGAAGCAGAACAGACCCTGTTAGACTGGATTCCAATAGACAGTCGCTTGTGTGCTGTTCGACGAAACGAGACAGTAAGATAGGGGCATACTCCGTTACTTATTATTTGTCCTTGTCTACACTTTCACTGATTGCAGCTCAGACGAAGTTAAAGATGGATTTTATACGAAGCCACCTAACCTCCATTAATAAGCTAAACACTCAGATCTAGTAATATTGTAGGGTGATTCTAATGCTCAAGTACGTAAACCAAACCGAACCGGGAAGCACTTGGGCAGATCTTAAAGCGTTGAGGCTCAGCAAACAGATAATGACGACCGTCTGTTGCAACTAAGCTCAGATAATTGTCTATTTCTAGAAAACACCAACTTTAAATATAATAAGAAACACTGTCTAACGTAGCGACCCCTAAAATCGACCTAACAATGGTTTCAAATAGGCCACATTATCATCAGCTACCGTCTGAGAGGAGTGACACAACTGTTGCTCATTCTGCAGCGTATGTCCAGACACGCATCATGCTCTAGTCCAAGCACATATTTGCCTGCATATTACTGGACCTAGAAAAGCCACAGCAAAAAACCCCCACAAATTTAAACCCAATGGCGAAAAAGTAAGGAACATATTTCACGAACAGCTAGACAATCGAATTAGTGAACTGTGGAAGTGATGTCCACCTCGAGGTAACTTGGTATGATATCCAGAAAGCTGTGCAAACAGCAGTGATGTCTACAGATAACTTAAACATAAAAGTTAGGAAAATTCAGTGGATTTCAGCGGGTCCTGCTGAACTGATAAATGCTCTAGATTTCATCCCATCTGGCTCTGAACACGATGAGGAGGGGGGCAGCTTAAACGTAGGCTGACAAAAAGCCCACGTAATGATCGTAAACAGTGGTGGGTAGCCAAAGCAGAAGAGAAAGATAAAGGTAGCAACGATAGGTAACAGTAGACAACTGTTCCGACTTATCAAGGAAACGGGAACTGAAAATCCGGTTGTTAGTGAAATTACCTTGAAAAAAGACAGGGCTATTATTCACTCTCTATCCAGGATATTGCACCGATGGACAGAAAACTTTAGAAAACAGTTCGACTGGCCTTCAGCCATACTACAGCTATTTACTATCTCGAAGAGACCTGAATGATAAACTGATGTAAGACCTCCAACTCTTAGCGAGATTAGAAAGGCCATAAGTAATCTAGAGCGAAGGACAGTAGCAGCGGTTGATGAACCAAACTCTGAGATTTTTAAGGATGGTGGTCCAGTTTTTGAAGTTAGGTTGACTGAGATCTTAGTTAAACTCTTGGAACTGGACGTGATCCCATCTGATTGGTCTCGATCGCTGATCGTCCCAGGTTGTAAGAAAGTACAAAACTCCTCTTGTGGCAATCACAGATGAATCAATTTAACTACTATTTTAACTAAAATTTTATCTTCAATAAAACTTCGACGTCTAACTAAAGCTCGTGAGAAGCAAACTGAACGTGGACGTAGAGACCAATTATTCACCCAGATTTGATCTTAACCTGTAGACCCCCAAGCCGGCACTCGTGCGCGAAGCCGAAGGTCCTGGGTTCGAATCCCGTGTGCGGAGTCGTGGATGTGAAATGATGAGGAGTCCTATACTAAAACGAAACGGACAGTCAGTGCTTCCAGGTTTTTAATGGTGGTCTAACATTGATCGGTTAATGATTTCAATGGATTTTAACAATCTCCACAACCCAAAACTGAAATTTTTAATAGAATGATTAGAAATGAACTCGTTCGTGAAAAAATTAATTTGATAGCATTTCCTAGATCTTTGAGATCGAGCGACTCCTCGAGGCTAAAATTGAGTGTGAAAATTATGCAGAGATCAAATTCAATATTTCCAAATAAATCTACGAAAAGGATGCCACCGAGATGTCCGTGTACATATCACAGGGTGAGTAAGTAACCTGCAGTCTTCCCTATTTAATTTGTGGTTGTGAAACACAGGCTTCAAAAGTAGGGGAAATGCATAAGTTGCCAGAATCTTTTTATGGATATCTTCAAAGTATTGCTCGCCAGAAGTGGAACCGCGGAGTAAATAATGACAAAGTAAGGGCGGCTGTGAGCAACTATGATGACAAAAAGATTGACGATGCTATGAGTCATCGGCAGAGGTGGCTTGAACACGAGTAAAATATGTCTTAGCCACATACTCTAATGCCCAAAGTTGACTGATTTAGGGTAGACTTCCTGATTAGGGTCTATCAGTGGTAGTATCGCACATGTATTCATTATTCCTCAAAACCTTCAGTTTTGATATTATGCTATACTTTCTATTCCTTAATTTTAATCGTTTTTCAAACTTCGTCCTTCATATTTAGTTTCGTACTAACTTTGATATTAACAATAACTTAAACGATTGGTTTAAATTTCTATCAGATAAGATTTTTCTTATAATTACTCCTGATTGACGAAAGTCTACATTTCATAAGCAAACCGTTAAACACGAAATAGTAAAAGTAACGTGCATACTAAATTGAACCCACGGTGAAGTGTCTTAAGATATACTTAAAATGATACGCAATATCTGTCTAGGGTTAAAAAAAATAGGATACCTTTTTCTTTGAGCTCATCGACCATCTGTTCCACATACTCCGTCAATCGTTGTTTATCAAGTTTGAGCTGGTCTCGATCTTCAACAACTTGCACATAATCTGTATACAACTGTGTTAAACTATGGCCACGCTTTAAAGCGCTCAGCGTAGCGGCCACAGATGGGTTAAGCTGGCGTAACTCTTCCTCAGATAGACCTAAAAAAGTAAAACATGTGTATTTATTATTAAATCGTATTCGGAAAACTGTAACCACAGAAAACACCACATAATCATCATAAATTTTCCCGACAACAAGGACGATTCATATACAGAAAACGGACCTGAAACACCAAGCTTAATCACAGTACATGGTAGCAAAGCTGCTTTCGAATATACGAAGAAAATGTTGACTTCTAAATTATGCGGAAAAAGACACAATTTAACACCGACCTCTTGCAGATCTAGATATGACGAAACCAACAGCTTAAAACGAAGGCTTGATTTGCATTTGCATCAGACGAAATTGAATTATACCTGGAATGTTTTTTAATTAACTTGCATGTCAATAAATAATGCCGAACCGAGGGTGTCACTTATAGTTTTGAAACAAACATTATTTTACAGAAAATCCACAACTTATTAACGTACAAGTGTAAGCAAACCCCTTAGAGACACCCCCGATATGCAAACTCCAAGCCCACGCAAACTAATGTTGTTGATCAGAAAAAATAATAGCACAAAATGACTTGCTAATCTTTCAGTGCCAAAAATGTGCATAAGCACATACTATAACTTGGGTTGAGCAAACACTTAAAATACCTATGGTAGAATATAGTAACTTGAAAACAAGCAATACAGCGAAAATTCACAATATCACTTTTGTATGAACTCAAAATCACTTGCCTGAGTACCTAGAAATAGCTTAGTCTCTATATATCTGAAGTGGGAATAAATGGTAAGCACTGACTCAATAGTATAACAGTACCTAAATTTAATGTGATATGGTTAGAAATCAATCGTAATGGTGAAAGTATATTCACCTCCCAGCTTTAACTTTTAAGTTCTAATTAACTCATTTACCAGTTACTTGGGTATTAGCCACACTAAGTGTGAAGGTTAATGATACTACTCGGTTGTCCAAACTGGAGTAGGTGAAGCTGAATTCGAACCTGAAAATTACTGGCTAAAATTCGGATGTATTAACAGGTAAATCAGATTTATCCAGATCTTGAAAGTACCTTTGTATATTTATGACCTGTATTAACCGATATTTTTGTTGCTTTTCTGAAATAACCCGTACCGTCTTCTGAAAGACTACATGTGGCAACCCGCAGTCAGTCAGCTGCAACGTAGGACCAGGCACATATATGCATCGGTCCAAGTTGCACACTTCATAAATACAAGGTGAACACCAAATTCACAGAAGCAGTTACTTTAATGGTAGTAATATAGAAAAGAAAGATTGTGTATAAGGAAATCATACAGGAAGAAAGAATTAGTTCGTAGAAAGAAAGATATAAATTGATTTTAATCTCACGGTTTAAGGGCAGGCAAAGAGTGTATATACCTACGCCATTGTGATAAATTCTGAGCCATGTCACACAGAGTTTCCAACCATTGGTTACGATAGTCGCATGGACCTCAACCAAGTAGTCTGCACCTACCAATATGGCTAAGACTATAAGTTAGTAACTTTATGGACTAATGCAACGTTTTGGTTTGGCCGGCCCCAACTTCCTTCCAACCATCCTCAACACAGGTCGGCATTGCGCGTGGTGGTAAATAATGTCCAGACATACGTAACTCATGGCCCAACCATCTCAGTCGATGAAGATTCATAACCTCATCAACTGATTTACCATCATTCCCTAATACCCTGCGTCTAATCTCACTATTACTTACCCGGTGATTCCAGCAGGTTTGAGCAATATTTCTAAGACATCTGTGGTTAAATACTGGTAATTGACGTGCATCCTCTACCCGTAATGGCTACGTTTTGCAGTCGTAAAGTGGGACATAACGAACTGCTGCATAGTATACTCGTCCTTTTATTGATAGAAGGATACCTCCCCTTCGTTATAGGTGACGTAAGTCGGTAAAAGCCAAACAACCTTTTTGAATCCGTACTGAGATTTCGTCAAACACCAACCCATTAGGGTCGACCAGAATTCCAAGATAAGTGAAGTTAACGCGTTCGACTACTTCATTCTATGTCCTCAGTTCAGGTGTTGACGTAGGCCAGTGCTAAAGCAACAATTCGCATTTAGAGGGGGAGAAACCTCTAACAGCACTCAAGATCACTGTATTCATAATCTACCTTCCTCTTCGATCCCTATTGTTCCTCCTACCTCGACTTTAAACTCTAAACTTCCTCTTTTGACTTCCTCCTCAAGTGTCACCTTGGCCAACGATTTGGTATCAGTTGTGATGTCATAACCAATGGTTGGGAACTTTGGGTAACGTGGTTCAAAATCGTTCGCGATAATGGAGGTCAATTAACTCTTTATCTTTCTTTAGAAGAAAAGTCCCAAAATCTCCATACACCTTTTTCTCTTTCTTTGCTTAGTATTTCTTACTACTATTGATAGATACTGTTACTGCTTCTACTATACTAGGTTTTGTCTTGAAATAATTTTATCTCGCTGTACTAATATGGTATGGCAACTTGAAGCGGTTGCCATGTGTCAGGTTTTACTTTGATTATGATGATGATAGTGTTGACCATTTCTGATAAGTGATGTTTTAAGTATCGTCAACTTCCTAATAGACATCCGAATTTATTTTCTGTAGAAATGTAATCAATTTTCGCAGTTTGAGTAGTAGTAGTAGTAGTAGTTTATTTGTTGTTTCTAGCTCACAATTTGCATTTAGATGGGGAGAAACGCATCCCGAACATCCTGGCATTGTTGCTCAGTGCTACCGGAAGACTCTGCATTTTATTAGCGTCTTCATCAAACAGGACTATTTTAAGTTAATATGTGGACATTTTGGTATAAAATCAATTCCTGAAAATCCAGACTACGAGAACGCTATTTCCAGCAGTAGGTTTATAATGAAATTAAATAGAAATGGAGATAGTGGACAGCCTTATCAGAAACCACTTGAGGTCGCAAAATCGGATGACTCGATTGGTAGTGTTCGAGTAAAAGGCCTTCACAAGGTTTATGTACTTCTGAGGTACACGTTTCAATGATAGACACTGCAACAGAACCTCTCAGTCTACAGAGTCAAATGCTGCTTTTAATGCTAGAAAAGCCATCACTGTCGAACGCCGATAAGCATGCCTGTGTTCTAGAACCTGAAGAACGGTGAATATGTGGTCGATGCAGCCACGACCAATTCGGAAGGCAGTCTGATTTTCTCGTGTTTGCACTGTGCGAGTCTTTGTTATGCGCCCGATAATTATTGACACTAGTATTTTAGACGCTCTATTAGTCAAACTAATCCCTCTATAGTTATCAAAGAATTATTTCGATCCTTTCTTATATATTGGGACAATCAGTGATTGCGACCAGTTAGATGGAATTACATTCGATCCCTAAATTTTAGCTAAAATATTGGTCGACCTAATCGCTAAAACTGGACCACTGTCCTTAAGGACCTCTGAAGTTAATCCATTTGGACCAGCTGCTCTTCATCGTTTCAGATTATCCATAGCTTTCTGAACTTCAGTTAGAGTCGAAGGTCTACTTGAATGTTTTACTCAGGCTATTTGGAAATCGTGGGTAGCAGTAAAGTAGCTGAAGACCAGCTGGACCGCTCCCTAAAGTGTTCCACCCATCGTTCTAAACACCTCGATTGAGAGCAAATAAGTGTCGTCTTTTTCAGCGATTGTCTCACATTTGACGTCTTAATTCCGGCTCCTTTTGTTGGTCTGAAAAGCTGTCTTGTGTTATCTACAGTCACTGCCTTTTCCACCTCTTGCTTTCGTACCCACCACTGCTTACGATCGTTCCGTGGTCTTTTGGTTAACCTAGATGAAACTTTTTTTCGCTTGTCATCGTGTTCAGAGCCTGATGGGATAAATTTACGAGAATCTACCAGTGCAAAAGATATGGCGGAAATCCATTGGTTTTCCGTAATCCTTTGGTTTAAATTACAAATAGATGTCACTGCTGTTTCCACGGCTGTTCGTTTATTTTTTCAAGCAACATCTGGGTCATCTTCGTTTTCGAAATTGCCTAGGTGTTATTTCATTTGTTTGTGGAATTTACCTTCGGCTTTCTCGTCGTTGAGTTTGACTCTAATGGGCATTTTTAATGTGGGTTTTCTGTGTTTAGTCAGGCGCAAGCAAATACGTGCTCTTATCAGAGCACTATCAGAGTCCAAACATGTATTTCAGAACGAGTGGCAATCTATCGAGCCAAAAAACTTTTCGAGACCGTTTGAAGATGTATTTTATCTTAATGAACCCCAATACATGACAATAAATAAGTTGAGAAACACTGTAACCTATGCTATCTCCCATTACTGCAATTAGTACTAATAAGTATATGGGATCTTTGAGTCAACCTACGTCGTGTAAACTGACAGTTCTAAGGATTCAGGTTTTTTTTTAAAGAACTGACGAACAAATGAGATACTGATAAGGTTAGGAGTCGTGAAAACGAGACTTAATGATAACAGACCAATGAAATAGTATGCTTAAGATAGCTAGTAAAATATGAGCAAGCATAAGCAACGCGATAAAAGATACTCATCTGCCACACGCTACTCGAATACATGTGAAAAGGCAGATAAAAGGATGAAAGGATAGTAACAAATACGACCCTAAGTAGTGTTTTGGCCATCAATTATAACAATATTGACTGCATTTAGGTTTACCATCCACTCTGAACTTATCCAGAAGATGTTGACTTCTTTCCATCTCAGAAGCGAGATTTTCAGTAGCTATCTGTAGTTTGGAATTTGCTTCGCTGCATTTCGCTTGTAAAGAGGAGTTTTCATTCTCCAACCTTGACACATCTACATGGAAATACAAGTGAGGTAATTAAATCTACTCTCATAAGCTTCCTTTAAGAGGCCCTGGATGGATGAAGCAGCATTACTAAGCTCCTCATTTTTTTCTTCCAGCTCTTTTACTTGTTCCTTAATTTTTGGAATAAGCTAAAGACAAATCATTACCTTGTACAGTTTTATAAGTTGCTTCTGTGCCTCAATTTCATTTCCGTACAACTGCTCCATTTTTATTTGTTCATCCGTAACCTGAAAAATTAAGAGATAAGTATAACTTACTAGTTTAAGTTTGACGATGTACTCGTCATTTGTCTGAGTAAGCTTCTGTACATTTGTTTCTAGTCTTTCAACACACTGTTTGGAGTTCTCAAGCTGAAACATTATAACAGGAATTAAAAACATACTTCAACGTTACGAAGACCAAGTTCAGCTTCAAGAGAGTAAGACTTTTGGTACTGCAAAAATGTAGATTAAATCTGGACCTTACTGAATCTCTCCTAACTGTCAGTAACTGGTCAGTTGTCTGTTGGAGACGTTCCTCTAGCCAGTCATTGTGTCGCTGTAAGTTAGATAGTTCGTCTGACCAACGAGCTTCTTGAGCCTAAATATGAAGTGATTGGGAGTTGAAATACATACTTTTATCGACGACTCACGCCCGATAATATCTTCCGACTTCAACATCATTTCTATTTTTAGTTTCCGAACATTTTCGGCTTCTGTACGTAGCTCGCTAATTTCAGAGGTTAGAGAGTCAATCAACCCGAGCTTATTCTTTAGTTGATCAGACAAAATTTCTTTCTCATTTTCTAATCCACGGATAGCGAGGTTAAGCTCATTATTAACGGACAAACAGTCGTTTAATTTTGTACGGAAATCCTCCTTCTCCACATTAACATTATGAAGCTTTTCTTCGATAGCGTAAAGTGCATCGTTGCATTCTCTCAGCTTCTTCTCTAACTCTTCAGATGCTGACTTTAGTTTGTACTGCTCTTCAGAATAATGCAACGCACTATTTTCTAAAACGAATAAAAAAGAGCACACATATACCTTGAGCTTTCTGAAGTTTCGCAAGTTCCTCTTTCGCCACTTCAGCATCGTGATAGATGTTATCAAATGCAATATTAAGTTTAGTAACTAGTTCAGGGCTGACTGATCCTATTTCTTCCTCAGTAACCCCACCATAATTGCACAGACTTTCAAACTCCATCATCCAACAAAACACAAATGTACCGCGTAACCTCAAGGCTAGAAGCTAGTCTACAGTGATAAGGATAGTAGGTCGCTTGACCTGTGTTAATCCATACAGCCTGTTTTAGAGTGTGGATTAGAATCCGCCTTGAAACTTTTCACTGGTTGTACTGATAATATCTGCTCGGGTAGGGCGTTCCAAATGGTTTGTATTGTTCTGTACGGAATAGAAGCTTTCGCCTAACTGGCTTTCGTTTCAAGTAGCAGGGAATACCGATGTCTCCAGGCAGTAACCTAGGTATAGTTAACGAAAAAAAGAGAAAATTATTGCATTATAGTGAGACGTTGTCCTTAGTTCTTAAGAGGGACTCCTGGGAAGTCTCTTGGACTAGCTCAGCCGGCAGCGATATCCAACATTTGACCACTCTCGATGAGTAGGTGTGCCTACGATCCGCTCTAATATATTGTGTTTGCAGTTTTTGGGTGTTAGGTCTAAGGTTTTTGTTCGGACCAAACATAAGTAGGTGTTGAAGGGGATACCCAAGAGTGTTTAGCGTGTTGTAAGTCGTTTGAAGGTCACTTCTAAGCCGACTGAAGATTCAGTGATTTGAAGCGCTCTTATTAAGGCTTTAACTTGAGTTCCTAAATTGACTTAGTGGCTCACTGATAGATACGTTCTAATGGATCCTTCTCTTTATGGAGTGGGGGAGGAAATACGATATTTTCATACTCTAAATCGATTCGAATAAAACTGTTGAAGATAAACACAACTTTCCGCTTTCAAAATGGTCAAAAATGCGCTATAATGTTGCCAGTGCAAGGTTTGCTCGAAATGCATTTTAGTCGCATTTAGCGTGGGGTGAGATTGGTATGGCATTTGGTAAGAATTTGTACGCGCAGCCGTGGAACGCTCCACATTCTGCACACTCCATTCTCACCTCCAAAATCCACACCCGACCAAAACTGCTACCTTGACACGGTGGTCGAGCTTGCCTATCGTGATGATCCAACCGAGCTATATTAACTGAAACATATGTTCCTGTGGGTTCTACCATGCCCGGCAGGTCGATTAGAGAATGGCAAGACTAAAAGCAGCAACTCAAGGTCTGAGGGCGAAGTCGTACTGCTGACTGTAGAGGGGTGTGACAGCAGTAAGGTGTTTCCCCCGAACAGTCGGCATCTGCAGCGATGCTGCCTTTTCACAAGGAAGGAAGGGGTTAGAAAAGGTCGGCCCTAAAAATGTCACACCTTACCTTACCTTCCGTCTCCGGCAGTAAGGCACTTTGAAGAACGGAGCTAACACGTCAAAAACCTCCCCAAAAGGCCGTGCGCGACCGGCCTCAAGCAGTTGTTCCTTGGGCTCTGCGGTCACGCTCACAGGTCGTTAAGACCAACACTAATCCAATTTCCTTTTCATGTTCCTCAATAAATACATTTCTACGGTGTGGGCAGCCAGGAAAAACATCTTTTAACATGGCAACCTCCTAATTTATCCCAACGTTGGACCCAAATAGATCACATCGCTATCAGCCACCTATGGAGAGGTTCGATAGAAGACTGTCGCTCATTCTGGAGCACATGCTTAGATTCCGATCATGCTCTAGTGCGAGCGCGTATTTGCTTTCGTCTTACTGGACGTAGGAAAGACGCTGCAAGAAAACCTCTTAGGGGCCTACTTAATGATAGTCAAGCTAAGAGTATATTTCAGAAACAACTAGGCAAACAGTTAGGCAGCCATGTATGTGATGCCCACCCCGAGGCAGCATGGAATGATATCCGAAAAGCTGTGGAAACAGCAGTGATATCTGCCAATACGGTAAACCTTAAGGTTAGGGAGCAACACTGGATCTCAGCAGCATCCACCTGGCTCTGAACATAACGAGGAGCGGAGTCAGCTTAAGCGCAAGCTGACAAGAAGCCTACGCAATGATCGCGAACAGTGGTGGGTAGCGAAAGCAAGAGAGATGGAAAAGGCAGCCGCAATAGGTAATAGCAGACAATTGTTCAGACTCGTTAAGGAAACCGGAATTAGGAACCTGACTGTTAGCGAAACAATCTCAGAAAAAGATGAACATATTATACATTCTCAATCCAGGAGATTGTATCGATGGGCAGAACACTTTAGGGATCAGTTCAACTGGCCTTCAGCCACACTTCGGTTTCCCACGATCTCTAGTCAACCTGAATGGCAAGTTAATGTAGGTCCTCCGTCCCTTGATGAAGTTGAAAAAGCCATAGGAAATCTGAAACGAGGGAGAGCAGCAGGCCCTGACAGGTTTACTCCTGAGATTTTTTAAGGATGGTGGTCCAGTATTAGCAATGAGATTAACCGAGGTCTTTGGTAGAATTTGGGAACTGGACGTAATCCCATCTGACTGGTCTCAATCACTGATTGTGCCAGTCTATAAGAAAGGACAAAAGTCCTCTTGTGACAATCACAGAGGAATCAGTTTGACCAATATAGTGTCTAAAATATTAGCTTCAATAATACGTCAACGCCTAACCAAAGCTCGTGAAGAACAGACTAGAGAAAACCAGGCCGGTTTTCGACCTGGACGTGGTTGTATAGATCAGATATTCACACTACGTCAGGTTCTAGAACACAGACACACATTCAGACGCCCCACAATCGTAGTATTTCTCGACCTTAAGGCAGCATTCGACTCTGTCGATCGTAAGGTTCTATGACAGTGTTTGTCACTGAAAGGAGTACCAAAGAAGTACATTAACCTTATAAAGGCTCTCTACTCGAACACAACTGGTAGAGTGAGAGCTTATGGCGAACTGTCATCAGAATTGATCACCTCAAGTGGTGTTCGTCAGGGCTGTCCACTCTCTCCATTCTTGTTCGACTTTGTCGTCGACGTACTTTTAGAGATAACACTTTACTCGTCTAGATTTCCAGCGGTTGAACTTCTACCAGGAGATTCACTTGTTGACTTAGAATATGCAGATGACATAGTTCTGTTTGGTGAAGACACTGACAAAATGCAGAGTCTTCTGACCACTCTAAGCAACAATGTAAGCATGTTCGGCATGCGATTCTCTCCCTCGAAATTCAAAATATTGCTTCAGGATTGGGTTGCATTGACACCCGAACTAATGATAGGGAGTGAAGTAGTTGAGTGTGTCGATCGCTTCACTTATCTTGGAAGTCTCATCAGCCCTTGTGGTCTGGTGTGTGACGAAATCTCAGCACGGATACAGAATGCTCGACTAGCTTTTGCCAACTTGCGTCATTTATGGCGTAGGCGAGATATCCGTCTATCAACCAAAGGACTTGTTTACTGTGCAGCAGTTCGTTCCGTCCTACTTTATGGCAGTTAAACATGGCCGGTAAGAGTAGAGGATATCCGTAGGTTACTAGTATTTGATCATAGGTGTCTTCGAAGCATTGCTCGTATATCCTGGGAACATCGAGTAAGTAACTCAGTTGTTAGGAAACGGGTACTAGGTAAGGATGGCAAATCAATTGATGACGTAGTGAAACTTCATCAGTTGAGATGGCTGGAACACGTGTTACGTATGCCCAACCACCGACTGCCTGGATGTGCGATGTCCAATGGTATAGGTTGGAAGAAAGCTAGAGGCGGTCAGACCAAAACATGGCACAAGTCCATGAAGTCACTGACAAGTGGACTGAATCATGTTGGTAGGTGTAGACTACCTGGTTGGGGACGGCGAGATGATAGCAACCAATGGTTAGAGACCCTGAATGACATGGCTCGAAATCGTTTGCGATTTCCCACAGATTCAACTCTAAGCTAATCTCTAGACTGTCGAGTACAGAGTCTTGGTTTAGCCAAAGTCAGAACAAGCAATCTATTTGGGGTGATCTTATCCGCAACGCAACCAATGTAAACTTAATGTATCGCACACTGTCATTTGTGCGTTCAAGTAACCACATATTTTGTCATTTCATAATGTATTTTTAATTAAATAACTAGATTATGTAGTTAATTTTTCTCTGTTTCTAATTTTTATTCGCCACGTCTGACTGCGTTACACTGTGCGTCCATTGCACGCTGAGATGATATCTCAAGTCGTAGTGATTTTATTCACATAGTTGATTGTTTCCAGATAGACTGTCAGTGCATGATTTTATTGAAGAAAGGTTTGTTGTACTGTAAACTGTGTTTCTATGATCAACTTCCTATTGTCTTCAGTATGAATTCATACTGAATACTGCTTTAAGGCAGTATATATGTATCCTTCTTTTTTTCTTAGGTAAGTTCAACTGGCCTATATTTCGGGTTTTGGTTTTATCGGCTTAATTATGTCCATTTACCTACTTTGAGCAACATGTCTTTGCAAGTGAAACAATAACTATGACACTTGCTTAGTTTAGTGTTCTTGGTTGTCGTATAATTCAGTTTAGTTGAAAGAATTATGATATACTTAAGTATAGTGCTTGAAGCCTGTAACGAAACAGATCAGTTTAGTAAGTAGAGTTGCCTGTTTCTAATATGTATACGGATGCAGATCAGTCTGATTAAAAATAGGAAAAATCGTGCCTTTGATGCTGTTGCTATCATACATTATAAGATAGCGATAAGTATGTTTGGTGTTTATTTCTAAACTGTACATCTATCACTGACCATATTTCATGACCACTGTCATTAAACAATTTCCCCATCAATAACATCGGTAGCAAGATAGCTAAGTGTCTGAGCTTTTAGTTGCCCGCAAAACAGCAGTATACAGTCTTAGAAGATGAATGTTCTGTGTCTCAATTAAATACAGCTGGCTGTGGACAAATGTTAAAAATCTTTTGGACAACTGGGACTTTTAGTTTATCATACACTTACTCTGCTTGTATGTTTTCCTGTTAAACTAGACGCAGATGCATGGGAATACTTAAATGGCAGCAAAATAATAAAAGCATTGCAATACGGTACTAAGCCCATGTTATGCTTTGCGCAAGTAATAGTAGCTGACCTTATCTAATATTCATGAACTCAAGGTAAATCACAACTGCATAAATTCTTTGCTAAAAAACATATGATTTGGTTATTTATATATTCCACATTTCTGACTAAATTCATCACCATTTTTCATTTAGAATGCAACAGG